TGTGGTTTTACTTGGGAAATAAACTTATGATTATAATCATTGTTGCTCTCAAGCAAGTCGATGATGAAAGCAGAGATCTATGATTTGCACTGAGACCCATAGACTCACGCTGAGATCCATACATTCACACTGAGACCCATAGATTTGCACAGAAATATATAGATTCAGATACAGAACCACAGAGACCCATAGACCCAGAGATCACAGCGATACACTCCGCTATTCCTGACACAATTCTCTGGCTTCAACCACCTGGATGTAACATTATAGTTGCTGCTCAACATCAACATCGGCTCTATGAAGAGAGCAAACACTTCCTATAAAGGAAAAACCGTGCCAATTGTCCCAACCCAAATGTCTCTACCGCTAAGTAGTCTTTAGAGTGATTTATCCTTCGATGTTTTATATGTTGTGAGTAACATTTATCTGGTATTAGGGGCTGGCGGTGGGGGGGGGGATGCACTTACTCGTTTAAAGTCATGGGTCATTTCAAAAGACGCGGCTTCTCTACCAGTGCGAGCTCGCGGGTAACGCGATGGAACTCGCTGGCTCACCTGCTCCCTTTGGAGTATCGTGCAAAACAACTGCACCCCCGTCCAAAAAAAAAAATCGAATTCTTACAAACTCGAGAAAGTTTCTCAGGCTTACATTCATCTTGCTTTCATTTGGACACGAACCGCTTTGGGATGTTTTTTTGTTGCCACGTTCCTATTTCAAGGAGCGTCTTGTGTGTAGCGACCACGCACACTATGTCAGGTTCCAACATCGTTCCAATTGGACTTTTCCATCTCGCTCGACTCTGCCCAAGCAACTTCTGCTCAGCCCGACAGAGGAGGCTGCCACGGGCGTCTTGTGTGGGCTCCGTTTGGACACTGAATGTCTAAACCGAGTCCGAATTTGCTTGTGTTGAACCAATACAAACAGTCTTGATTTGAAGCTTTCGTGACTGCAGGAATCCATACTCTCTGGTTCTTTCGTTAAAGTCACGTAGATAGAAAAAATAATAAAAAGAAAACACGACGTTTCGGTCGCAACACAAGGGTCCGTCTTCAGGTCAGAAAATGATCTGCTGTTGTGGCTTTATATAGGCACGGGAGGAGTTTTGTCGAGTCGTGGCTGTAGGAGTTCACGGGAGCTCGAATTAGTAATCGGACAACAAGACACACGGGTGGATGAGTGAAAATCACAGCAGTTAAAACTTGGCGCGGTTTATCACATCCTTCCGATGATTACTCAATCTGAATCCATCTTCTCGATTAAAGTTTTGTCTGTGTTTGTATATCTGGATGGCTTCATGAACAAATCTCTAATGGTGGCCCGGGGGTTTGCAGAGCAGCTTGGTCTCGGAGAAAGCAATGTCACGTGTTGTCAATGTCACGTGTGCCCACAGCGTTGAAACAATGATCCGCCACCGCCAAGGAGTTGGTTCTGCCGTGTTTCAAATCCGCTTTGTGTTCGCGAACCTGGTCTGAGACACGTCGCTTCGTTTCACCAATGTAACTGCTGCCGCAGACACAACTCAGCTTAAAGACACCAGGACATTGCATGTCCGGAATCGCATCCTTCACCGATGGGATCAAATCACGGATTTTGTGTACTTTATTGAACCGAAAATCTCGTTCAAGATTTTGGCAATCCATTTGGTAACCCCTGCTATGTATGGTACGGTGATGGTTTTGATTGGGTCCTCAGATGGTTCTCTACCCATGGTTGGGGATGCAGCTTTGCGGATTGTGCAGTCAGAATATCCATTCCTCCTGAGAGCCTGACATACGTGTTCAAGCTCACTGGCTAGGTGGTGCTGGTCGGAGATGCAACGGGCCCTATGGTTTAGTGTTTTGATGAGGGAATTATTTTAGGCTGGATGGTGGTGGGAGTCAGGGTTTAGATAGGAATCCGTGTGGGTGGCTTTCCTATAGACAGTGTCCCAACGAGCCATCAGGTCTCTTCTCGATCAAAACATCCAGGAATGGTAGCTTGCCATCATTTTCCACATCCATGGTGAATTTGATAGATGGGTGTATGGAATTGATGTGGTTGAGAAATTGGTATAGTACCATCCGGCCATGTGGCCAGATGACGAACGTGTCATCTACATATCTCTTCCACAAGGAAGGATGTCGGGTGGATGTCCGGATGGCGTCTGTCTCAAATTTCTCCATGAAAATGTTCGCTACCACTGGTGATAGGGGAGAACTCATTGGGGTACCTTTATTCTGTTTGTAGAAAGTACCATTCCAGGTGAAGTAAGTGTTGGTAAGGCAGTGCCTTACCAACGAAGGTACATCAGGATCCAATCCCTGTTGGACTAGGTCTTCAATGATTGCAAAAATATCAGGTACGGGTACTTTGGTGAAGAGGGAGACGACATCGAAACTGACAAGCAAATCCTCCGGGGATAGTGATATGTCCTTGATTAGTGAAACCAAGTGGGCCAAATTAAGTACAGCCGAGGCGGTCTTGCCCGTGAAGGGAAGCAGAGTCTCAGACAGAAATCGTGCGAGTCTGTAAGTGGGTGAGTTCATGGTGGATAGGATAGGACGGAGTGGAGTGTCCTCTTTATGGATTTTTGGAAGGCCGTAAAATCTGGGTGGTCTAGCAGCTGAAGGTTTTAGAGAGAGCTGTTTGGTGCGTTCGATTAGGGAAGTCGAATTGGTGAATGTAGGCCAGAAGATAGAGTGGATTAATTATAAGAGTTGCAGATTGCACTTGACTGATTAAAAGTACATTCAAAAAGTTTTCTGATGGGCAGTTTTAAAATTGGCATGTGACTCTTTGACTATAATTTGAATGGTTAATTAATAGAACCGCTTGGGGTGGAGACTTGTACAATATGTGAAAGATGATAAAAGGCCATCACAACAGAATAATAATAGTGCAGAGACATTTGAGGTCAGATGCCAACGGTGCAGCTGCTGGCGGGATCTGGCTGAAGGAAAAGCCAGCGATGGTGGTGGTGGCATCGCAGTGGCTGGGATTCATCAATGCGATGTAGCAGAGCGGTAAATGGGGCTGGCGAGCAGCGTACAACGGCAGACACGAGACTGGAACTCTCCTGGACATGTACCACAAACGAGAATCGCTCGCAGTTCATCGATTTCGATAGTCGGGGAGGGGGTTCTTTGATAACTGTCGCAAGTTAACAGGCAAACACACAACTTGAGCGGACGTTATTTGTACGCGTTTACTTTGCGTGAGAGGCAGGGGAAAGATTTAACAAACGCAACAAAAATCCCATTGCGGTTGTCACGGCTTGTGGTTGAATTTCCACTCGTCTGCCGCTTCCCTTTTTGAGCGGCACGTGTCTCGTGAAGCGAGGCGCGCATTGGTGTCAGTCGTCAGCTACCGTGCCCTTTCAAACATGGGAAGCTCAACATTGCCCTGACGTGTGAATGTTTTTGGCTTCCGCAATACATTTCAACACTATAAGCCGCTTCGCTTCGCTTCTGAAAACGAGCTACACAGCTCAGTTGGGTGAAGTAAGAAAACAAAACGAGTTTCTTTTCAACTTGTTTCGCACCGCATGTAGCCAACCGCGCTAATCGGATGTGTGAATGTGGGCGCATACGGCGTGCGGGGAGCGGTGGTGTAGCAATGAGCGCTACGCTGCGCTAAGAACGCCGTGCACTGAGTTCGATTCCCGCTCACGGCCAACACCAGTGACGATTATCTGAACCGGTCCTGGGCCTCTCTTAGGTCGACTCAGCCTCAAATGAGTACCTGGTGCGGCGTGTCATCATCGCCACTGGGGAGACAAAGGCGGCCGGGCGTGGTGTTGGCCACCCACCCTCTCGTGTACCGTTCTGGTATTCCTAGGTGCTACTCGCTAACAGCACTTGCCCCTACAGTTTGTTAAGGCTACACGGGGGATCTTTGTCTTTGCATCGGGTTTGGGAAGCTGCGTTACAAACATGCAAAGATAAAGTTCCCCCGTATAGCCTTGACTTTCTGGAGCGTCTTATAATCGAGAAAATACGATTTAATACACTTATTATAATTACCAACCACAGGCCGTGGACAGTCACGTTGGAGTACAGGAGGCAGGAAGACCAACAAACTCCACTCAAAACATTGGGAATGAACACCGCGGCCTGAAAAACAAAACACGAATATGCGACTGTTATTGTCAAATGTGTTGAGGTTTGTGTCATTGCTCGTGCACCACTACCCACGCACGAGCACACATCGGCCGGACATCTGTTTACAAAGAGGAACTTTCATCGCTTATGGGGTTCCTCGCCATATCAATAAATATTCTGATTCTGACACCACCAGTTTGTTGGGACGTTGCAATTCAGAACAACGCCTGGGTACAAATGCGTGGGGATGCTGGCAGGGTCCGTTGCAACGCGAATGTGTGTACTGCATGTTGAGCTTCTTTCGCACCGTACGTAGCCAACCACTGTCCTTCCTCTTGCCTGCCATAAGTGTCTCACACAGCACACGGACACGTGTACAGCGAGCACTCGGCCTGATGTGCATAATGCACAAAAAAGCCACCAACAGCTCCTGAAAAACTGCTGCTACCGCATTGCATTATTCCCATGCCTTAGAATCGCCACCAAACATGGTCTCGAGCTGCTAACGTGACCCACTCAGTGACAGGCAGCAGTGCGGCAGAGATAGGCAACGGTGAATCGGCTTCATCCTAAACACGGCTCACCCGTAAATATTGCGTCCCCCTCTCTCTCTAGACAATGCCCTGCCCACTCCCCTGCCCTCTCTAGACAATGCCCTGCCCATTGCCCTGCCCTCTCTAGACAATGCCCTGCCCACTCCCCTGCCCTCTCTAGACAATGCCCTGCCCATTGCCCTGCCCTCTCTAGACAATGCCCTGCCCACTCCCCTGCCCTCTCTAGACAATGCCCTGCCCATTGCCCTGCCCTCTCTAGACAATGCCCTGCCCATTGCCCTGCCCTCGCTAGACAATGCCCTGCCCATTGCCCTGCCCTCTCTAGACAATGCCCTGCCCACTCCCCTGCCCTCTCTAGACAATGCCCTGCCCATTGCCCTGCCCTCTATAGACAGTGCCCTGCCCATTGCCCTGCCCTCTCTAGACAGTGCCCTGCCCATTGCCCTGCCCTCTCTAGACAATGCCCTGCCCTCTCTAGACAATGCCCTGCCCACTCCCCTGCCCTCTCCGCCATGAGGGAGGCAGGCTGAGGGCGTGCTGGGCGCAGTTCTGATCACGTGGACAAAACAAGGAAGCGACTCGAAACCGCGGTGTCAGAGTCGAGTCCACACACGCGCAGAGTACTCACAGAGGGCAGTACTCACAGAGAGCAGTACTCACAAAGAGCAGTACTCACAGAGAGGATTACTCACAGAGAGGAGTACTCACAGAGAGCAGTACTCACAGAGAGGATTACTCACAGAGAGGATTACTCACAGAGAGGAGTACTCACAGAGAGCAGTACTCACAGAGGGCAGTACTCACAGAGAGGAGTACTCACAGAGAGGAGTACTCACAGAGGGCAGTACTCACAGAGGGCAGTACTCACAGAGAGCAGTACTCACAGAGAGGAGTACTCACAGAGAGCAGTACTCACAGAGAGCAGTACTCACAGAGAGGATTACTCACAGAGGGCAGTACTCACAGAGGGCAGTACTCACAGAGAGCAGTACTCACAGAGAGCAGTACTCACAGAGAGGAGTACTCACAGAGAGCAGTACTCACAGAGAGCAGTACTCACAGAGAGGAGTACTCACATAGAGCAGTACTCACAGAGGGCAGTTCTCACAGAGGGCAGTACTCACAGAGAGCAGTACTCACAGAGGGCAGTACTCACAGAGGGCAGTACTCACAGAGAGGAGCACTCACAGAGAGGAGCACTCACAGAGAGGAGCACTCACAGAGAGGAGTACTCACAGAGGGCAGTACTCACAGAGTCCACATTGAGCCGTGGGGCCGTAGGGAGCTCGCTCAGAGAAGGCAGTCAGTCAGTCGGGCGTGGTGGTGGTGGTGGTTCATGGTTTGATCCCGGGGCTGTTAGCCCTGGTTCGGCTGGTTCCCGTCATGGAGGACGAATCTGGACTCCAGGAGATCTCGTGAGTTCACGACACACACACACACGTGTTCATCTGTCACTACAGTCACACACACACGTGTTCATCTGTCACTACAGTCACACACACACGTGTTCATCTGTCACTACAGTCACACACACACGTGTTCATCTGTTACTACAGTCACACACGTGTTCATCTGTCACTACAGTCACACACACACGTGTTCATCTGTCACTACAGTCACACACACGTGTTCATCTGTCACTACAGTCACACACACACGTGTTCATCTGGCACTACAGTCACACACGTGTTCATCTGTCACTACAGTCACACACACACGTGTTCATCTGTCACTACAGTCACACACACGTGTTCATCTGTCACTACAGTCACACACACACGTGTTCATCTGTTACTACAGTCACACACGTGTTCATCTGTCACTACAGTCACACACACACACGTGTTCATCTGTCACTACAGTCACACACACACGTGTTCATCTGTCACTACAGTCACACACACGTGTTCATCTGTCACTACAGTCACACACATGTGTTCATCTGTCACTACAGTCATACACACACACACGTGTTCATCTGTCACTACAGTCACACACACGTGTTCATCTGTTACTACAGTCACACACGTGTTCATCTGTCACTACAGTCACACACACGTGTTCATCTGGCACTACAGTCACACACACACACGTGTTCATCTGTCACTACATTCACACACACACGTGTTCATCTGTCACTACAACCACACACACACGTGTTCATCTGTCACTACAGTCACACACACACACGTGTTCATCTGTCACTACAGTCACACACACACGTGTTCATCTGTCACTACAGTCACACACACGTGTTCATCTGTCACTACAACCACACACACACGTGTTCATCTGTCACTACAGTCACACACACACACGTGTTCATCTGTCACTACAGTCACACACACACGTGTTCATCTGTCACTACAGTCACACACACGTGTTCATCTGTCACTACAGTCACACACGTGTTCATCTGTCACTACAGTCACACACACACGTGTTCATCTGTCACTACAGTCACACACACGTGTTCATCTGTCACTACAGTCACACACACACGTGTTCATCTGTTACTACAGTCACACACGTGTTCATCTGTCACTACAGTCACACACACACACGTGTTCATCTGTCACTACAGTCACACACACACGTGTTCATCTGTCACTACAGTCACACACACGTGTTCATCTGTCACTACAGTCACACGCACACGTGTTCATCTGTCACTACAGTCACACACACGTGTTCATCTGTCACTACAGTCACACACATGTGTTCATCTGTCACTACAGTCATACACACACACACGTGTTCATCTGTCACTACAGTCACACACACGTGTTCATCTGTTACTACAGTCACACACGTGTTCATCTGTCACTACAGTCACACACACGTGTTCATCTGGCACTACAGTCACACACACACACGTGTTCATCTGTCACTACATTCACACACACACGTGTTCATCTGTCACTACAACCACACACACACGTGTTCATCTGTCACTACAGTCACACACACACACGTGTTCATCTGTCACTACAGTCACACACACACGTGTTCATCTGTCACTACAGTCACACACACGTGTTCATCTGTCACTACAACCACACACACACGTGTTCATCTGTCACTACAGTCACACACACACACGTGTTCATCTGTCACTACAGTCACACACACACGTGTTCATCTGTCACTACAGTCACACACACGTGTTCATCTGTCACTACAGTCACACACGTGTTCATCTGTCACTACAGTCACACACACAGGTGTTCACCTGTCTCTACAGTCACACACGTCACGTGTTCACCTGTCACTATAGTCACACACGTCACGTGTTCACTTGTCACTACAACCACACGTCACGTGTTCACCAGTCTCTACGGTCACACACACACGTGTTCACCTGTCTCTACAGTCACACACACGTCACGTGTTCACCTGTCTCTAGAGTCACACACACGTCACGTGTTCATCTGTCACTACAGTCACACACGTCACGTGTTCACCTGTCTCTACAGTCACACACGTCACGTGTTCACCTGTCACTATAGTCACACACGTCACGTGTTCACTTGTCACTACAACCACACGTCACGTGTTCACCAGTCTCTACAGTCACACACACACGTGTTCACCTGTCTCTACAGTCACACACACGTCACGTGTTCACCTGTCTCTAGAGTCACACACACGTCACGTGTTCATCTGTCACTACAGTCACACACACACGTGTTCATCTGTCACTACAACCACACTTCACGTGTTCACCTGTCTCTACAGTCACACACGTCACGTGTTCATCTGTCACTACAACCACACTTCACGTGTTCACCTGTCTCTACAGTCACACACTTCACGTGTTCACCTGTGGACCTGTATTTGACAACCGCTCTGTTGAACGTGAACGCTGTGACGAGGCGGGAGCGGGCCAAGCGGATCGGCGCGTGAGTTGTTGGGGCCGGGTGAGTTGTTGGGACAACCCCACGGTGTTTTACCAACACGATGGTCACTCACCCGGTCCCAACAACCCACCCGGTCCCAACAACTCACCCGGCCCCAACAACTCACCCGGCCCCAACAACCCGGGTGGGTTGTTGGGACCGGGTGGGTTGTTGGGACCGAGTGGGTTGTTGGGGCCGGGTGAGTTGTTGGGGCCGGGTGAGTTGTTGGGGCCGGGTGAGTTGTTGGGGCCGGGTGGGTTGTTGGGGCCGGGTGGGTTGTTGGGGCCGGGTGAGTTGTTGGGGCCGGGTGAGTTGTTGGGGCCGGGTGGGTTGTTGGGGCCGGGTGGGTTGTTGGGGCCGGGTGGGTGACCATCGTGTTGGTAAAACACCGTGGGGTTGTCCCTGAGGGACCCCTCCCCGCTATGGTTTGTGAGGGGTTCGCTGTATCAACAAAATGGTCCATAATCGAGGTTGTTGGGTTGTATCGTGTAAATATATAAATGTGTCGTTGAACCCGCCACCACCCGACCCAGCCAACTTGTAAGGGTTGTCACGTAAACAGAACGCGCCAATTCGTCACTAGTACAGCACACCGTTTGTGTGTTGGAGAGCCAAGCCACAACATTTACAATCTGAATACGACGTTTCGCCAGAATTTAGCGACACATTTACGCGATCTCACCCGCAAAACCTCTACGATGGATGTTATAAGCAGCTTGGCTGAGCTATCATTTGTGGCCAGGTTGCTTATAGCTCAGTGGGTCTTACCTGGCAACAATTACACAAGCGTTTGGTGGGACAACGTTCTATCCCTCACAGAGGGGACAGATGATTTTAGTCCACACTTTGCTGTCCTGCCGCCTTCCCCTGGGCGAGCCGTTCATTCACGAGCGGTGATGACAGTCGGACAGAGGCGGGTTTTTATTTTTAGTTTGGGAAATTTTGGGGAAGTCGAGAGACGCCGTTGATGTGAGTGGGCAGTCAACGTTGTGAGGGCAGGAAGCCTCCGCTGGAGACTTCTCCCTGTCAGAGGAGTCGGCGGTAGGCGGTTGATGGCAGTTCCTTCCTACCAGATCGTCACGGTAGCTAGGAGATGTTAACTACCTCGCCTGGTGTGCAGGAGGTCGTGGGTTCGATCTTGACTCTGACGCCTGCTGTGTATTTGGAGTTTTGCGGTGTCTCTCCGGGTCCCCCGGTTTTCCCTCCATATTTAGAATCATCATCACGCGTTTAGAAGTATGTGGCTGTTATAAATGTCCACGTGATAAGCCACTTCGTTGAGCTATCATTTGTGATGGCCAGGGCCCTTCTGAAAAATAGCTACATAACTCGGTGGACCTTGCAGGTGACATAAAGACAAATACTTTCCTCTTCTTTGGTTCTTTCGGTAAAGTCACGTAGAATGAGAATAAAATAATAAATTGATAAAATAAAATAACACAATAATATTCTCACGACGTTTTGGCCACAACACAAGCGGCCTTCATCAGGTGAAGGGACGAGACTGTCTGGTAGGACAGCGCTGGAGTGAAAGAGCCACGTTCAGATCACGACCTTTAAGCTGTGTGAGAGGAACAAAGCGCCTTGACAAAGGAATTAGCATATAATTTAGCATTGAAATGGCTGAATGATTAGCTTGTGACTGGTCACAGAAATAGCTATGTTAAAAGTTAAAGCATACACATCCGCAGAGGCACCCCTTGTTATTTCTATTTCTGTGACCAGTCACAAGCTAATCATTCAGCCATTTCAATGCTAAATTATATGCTAATTCCTTTGTCAAGGCGCTTTGTTCCTCTCACACAGCTTAAAGGCCGTGATCTGAACGTGGCTCTTTCACTCCAGCGCTGTCCTACCAGACAGTCTCGTCCCTTCACCTGATGAAGGCCGCTTGTGTCGTGGCCGAAACGTCGTGAGAATATTATTGTGTTGTTTTATTTTATCAATTTATTATTTTATTCTCATTCTACGTGACTTTACCGAAAGAACCAAAGAAGATGAATCATTGCAGTCACGAAAGCTTTAAATCGAAAAATACTTGCCTGGTGAAATAAAGACAAATACTTGCCTAGTGAAATAAATACAAATACTTTCCTGGTGAAATGAAGACAAATACTTGCCTGGTGAAATAAAGACAAATACTTGCCTGGTGAAATAAAGATAAATACTTGCCTGGTGAAATAAAGACAAATACAGAAATAGATAATCTTTGTTTTTTTCGGTAGAGTCACATAGGTAAAAAAATCTAATAAAATAAATTAAAACAACTAAATTAAATCACGACGTTTCGGGCGCAACACAAGCGTCCTTCTTCAGGCGGGACAGCGTAGCGAGAACACAACATCAGGTGATGAAGGAAGCCTCCGAAACGTCGTGATTTTTTTTTACCCACGTGACTTCACCTAAAGAACCAAAGTATAAATCCTCGCAGTCACGAAAGCTTCAAGTCTGGAATATAGAAGTAGAATTTGAAAGTGTTACTTGACTCTTAGTCAGGACAAGGCTCTGCAGTCCTGCATTGCAGCCGACCCTGCGCTCAGTCTCGCGGGCGGGTTTCACGATTGTTATCGGCCCTGTTTTACGAACACGATTTCTGGCTGGCATTTCCTCATTTGTGAGAGTGTCACATTTTAGCAAGCAGTTTGTAACACGAGTGTGCGCCCATCAATTTAGCACGGAGTGTTATTACCTATTGCTTGTTGAAATTTCGCCATAGCGATGTGTAAATTCGAGTCTCCAACTCTTATTACCCACTCAATCTCGAGCCTCTTTATTTACATGCCATGAAGAAGGGTCAGTGCAGTAAACGTCGCCCAAAATACCATTTCTTTCCTTTTAAGGCCTAAGTTTTAAGGACGAATGTGTCACGTTGTTTGTGCTTGTGAGAGATGGCAATGCCTTCCGGAGACCTTAATCCATCAGTGGATAGATCGTGGCTGCTGCTGCTGCTGCTGCTGAAAATAACAACAATGATAATCATGGCAATGTCTACCGCGCCGTAACATGGCAAGCCGTGACAACGCCGCTGAACAAACGCGCAGCGACATGAAATGCGAGTCCACTGCCCTGAGAATGAGAAGCAGTCACTTGTGGCTGCTGACGAGCTGAGTGGCTTTGGGCGCGTTTTGAACGCTGACAGAGACTCGGCGGCTCTGGCGAGCGGTGGCAAGGACAGTTCCAGGCGGATGAACCTGTCACAGGGCAGCTGACTGAACTTCGTTCTGCTCTTCAGAACGATGACGATGTGCCGTGTGATGTCCAAGTGCTGTGTGCGTGTGTGTTTCGCCGTGTGTATCGCGCTGCACGAGGAACACGGCGACCTGAGTTCGATTCCCACTCGCGTCCAACACCAGTGACGATTATCTGAACCGGTCCTGGGCCTCCCCTAGGTCGACTTGGTCATAAAAGCAGTACCTGGTGCTGTGAGTAAAACAGCAGCTTTGGGCAGACAAAAGCGGGCGTGGTGCAAGCCACCTACCCCTTGTTTTCCATACCGGCTTCCATAGGTGCTCGCCAACAGCGCTTGCCCCAACAGTCTGTTAAAACGCTTTGTGGGTGGCGTTTTGTGCGTGCGGTGTGCGGCGCAGCTGGTACCACGGGGAGCTGAGCAGGCACCAAGCGGAAGCTCTGCTCATGTCCAACGGGGCGCTGGGCAGCTACCTCCTGCGCAAGAGCCGCGAGTCGGGGCAGCTCGCCGTGTCCGTCAAGTGAGTAGTGACGACCACTCGCGCTCCGTGCCAGCCAGCCCGAGTGAGTCTCACACTCTGTGCCAGCCAGCCCGAGTGAGTCTCACACTCTGTGCCAGCCAGCCCGAGTGAGTCTCACACTCTGTGCCAGCCAGCCAGAGTGAGTCTCACACTCTGTGCCAGCCAGCCCGAGTGAGTCTCACACTCTGTGCCAGCCATCCCGAGTGAGTCTCACACTCTGTGCCAGCCAGCCCGAGTGAGTCTCACACTCTGTGCCAGCCAGCCCGAGTGAGTCTCACGCTCTGTGCCAGCCAGCCCGAGTGAGTCTCACACTCTGTGCCAGCCAGCCCGAGTGAGTCTCACACTCTGTGCCAGCCAGCCCGAGTGAGTCTCACACTCTGTGCCAGCCAGCCCGAGTGTGTCTCACACTCTGTGCCTGCCAGCCCGAGTGAGTCTCACACTCTGTGCCAGCCAGCCCGAGTGAGTCTCACACTCTGTGCAGCCAGCCCGAGTGAGTCTCACACTCTGTGCCAGCCAGCCCGAGTGAGTCTCACACTCTGTGTCAGCCAGCCCGAGTGAGTCTCACACTCTGTGCCAGCCAGCCCGAGTGAGTCTCACACCCTGTGCCAGCCAGCCCGAGTGAGTCTCGCGCTCCGTGCGAGCGATCCCGAGTGAGTCTCACACTCCGTGCCAGCCAGCCCGAGTGAGTCTCACACTCTGTGCCAGCCAGCCCGAGTGAGTCTCACGCTCCGTGCGAGCGATCCCGAGTGAGTCTCACACTCTGTGCCAGCCAGCCCGAGTGAGTCTCACACTCTGTGTCAGCCAGCCCGAGTGAGTCTCACACTCTGTGCCAGCCAGCCCGAGTGAGTCTCACGCTCCGTGCGAGCGATCCCGAGTGAGTCTCACACTCTGTGCCAGCCAGCCCGAGTGAGTCTCACACTCTGTGCCAGCCAACCCGAGTGAGTCTCGCGCTCCGTGCGAGCGAGCAGGTGCCAGGACTCCGTGAAGCACTTCCTGGTGAAGTGCAGCGAGGGGAAGATCAAATTCGGCTTCAGCGAGTTCCAGTCCCTGCCGGAGCTCCTGGCGCACTTCTCCCAGAAGCCGCTCGTGGGCAGCGAGACCGGTGGGTGATGGCGATGGTGTCCGTGGTGGCGCCGTCGCTTCGTGCCGCCGACCCACCACCATCACCGCTACCGCGCGGCGTTCGGCTTGGGCTGTTGGCCGTGCGGCTGATTCATCGCCGAGCCGTTCACTCGTGCAGGGGCTCGATCGCTCGCTCGCTCCTCTTCTCCGCCACGACGCCAGCTGTTTTGTTTTGATAGTTTAACGCGTCGTAACGCTTTCGCGACCAATATTATTGGCGATAAAGGTTTTCTGTTGGGTTTAGATCGCTTAAATATGAACGCGTCGTTATCCCCACCACAGCCCAACACAGCCAATTAATAAGGTTTGTCACGTCAACAAAACCTGACAATTAGTTAGTATTCTTAGCTCTTTCGGTAAAGTCACGTTGAAGGGAAACAATAAAATAATAAAATATATATGAAACAATAAAAATTCTCACGACGTTTCGACCATAACACAAACGGTCATCATCAGGTGTGGAAACCAACTTGACTTTACCGAAAGAGCTAAGAATATGAATTACTGCAGTCACGAAAGCTTTAAATCAAAATTAGTTAGTACTTCAGCACACCGGAGTGTTGGAGAGTAAACCCCCAACATTTACAATTGGAGTACTGTGAAGTTCTCCTGGTGATTACAACCAGCTTCATCAGGCAATTTGCCAGAATTGTGTGAAGAAGTCTTCCTGCATCTCAAAACCTCCCCACACGCTGGCCAGCGCGTCAGAGAATCGCTCACAAGGAGTGCTCAACTGAGATGCGCGTGGCTGTGTCTCCATTATACATTTTTATCTCGCGGATTTCTCCATGATAAATAGAGACGCTGATTCTGTGTCACGCGCCCTTCCAAATGAACCGACACTGCAAGTTGCCGGCGATGAGACGACTCGTCGCAGGCCGTGCTTGTGGCGTCGTGGTGAGACGTCGACTCGAACGGCCGTGCCAAATTTTGACTGCTTGAGTACCACCGGCGCGTGGCGGCGGACAGCAATTCACGGCTTTGGATGTGGACGTTTCGCTTGCAGCTAGAGCCGGCATCGTCAGGCGGTTAGTCAGACGTCTCAAAATGCCCCTCCGGTTTGTTGGCCTTTAAGTAGGTTGTGTGATGGCGATGATTGTGAGTCCACACGAGAGCAGTAAGTGACATGAAGCGTTACATAAATGTGGATTGTTATCATGACGACGATGAGTTTTGAGGTTGGCTGTGCGGGGGAACGGCCGTGCCGGCAGGGACACTGGTGTTGCTGCACCTGCCGTACCCACGCCAGGTGTCGGAGCCGCAGACGTACGAGTCGGTGCGCATCCACACGGCGCTGCACGGCGAGCCCGAGGTCCTGGAGCCGCACGCCGATTCGGTGAGCGTGTGACAGCCGGGAGGAGGGTTTGTTTATCTGTTAAGACAAAGGTCCTCCGTGTGGCCTGAGACGGACCCTTAAGGCTGTACCGGCCAACGTGTGGGTGGCCAGCACCACGCCCGGCTGCCTTTGTCACCACGGTGCTAATGTTGTTTACACACCGCATCAGGTACTCATTTCAGGCTGAGTCGACGTAGGGGAGGCCCATGACCGGTTCAGTTAATCGTCACTGGTGTTGCCCGTGAGCAGCAATCGAACCTCGGTCACTGGGTTGATAGCGCAGCTCACTAACCGCTACACGACCGTACGATGAGCCATAATTTGGCTCCTTGAGCCTCGTACGTATGCATGTTGAGTTTCTTTTGCGCCGTACGTAGCCAACCGTGCTAATTGGAGGAGCCTCATATGTTAATAGTGAAATCCTAAAATTCCCAAGGCACTGTTAAGCTGGCCCTTATCACCTCTGGTATTATCACAAAAGCATATTAAGTTAGCGTCCATCTGGCTGTCTAAGCCCCGGGCATTAATATATATGAAAAAAGTCTGTCTCTCCTGGTCTTTTAAATTAATATTTTTTTTGTTGGGTGAGTTTATTTGTTTGTTTTATTCAGAGTGTCGGCCTGGATAATTCTAGATTTAAAGCTTGGATAATGTTTGGTTTACGATGTCCTCACATCACCCCCCCCCTCGCAGTTGGCAACGAAGGAAGGCTTCCTTACCAAGCAAGGCTTCATCATCAAGGTAATGCCGCAAGGCCCCGCTGGATGGCCTTGTAATTATAGGAGCCATCATTATTATAGCAAACAAAACAAAAACTCATCACGTGCGGCAATAACACCGTGTGGCTTTAAAATTATAAATATGTAAGAGACGACGGTTCGAGCAATGGTCCTTCATAGGACGTTAACCCCATGCCGATGACGTACGTGTACATGCACGTGTATGCGATGACGTACGTGTGCATGTGCGTGTATGTGATGACGTACGTGTGCATGTGCGTGTACGTGATGACGTACGTGTACATGTGCGTGTACGTGATGACGTACATGTGCGTGTACGTGATGACGTACGTGTCCATGTGCGTGTACATGATGACGTACGTGTACATGTGTGTGTACATGATGACGTACGTGTCCATGTGCGTGTACGTGATGACGTACGTGTACATGTGCGTGTACGTGATGACGTACGTGTCCATGTGCGTGTACGCGATGACGTACGTGTACATGTCTGTGTACGTGATGACGTACGTGTACATGTCTGTGTACTTGATGACGTACGTGTCCATGTGCGCATACATGATGACATACGTGTACATGTGTGTGTACGTGTGCGTCAAAGTTAAAATAATGTTATAAACGTTATCGGTACCGAGGCTCCCACAAGGCCGTGCGGGAGGGCGTGCGGCACAATTTGGCGCCAGCTATCGTACAGTGCGGTCGTGTTGCTACAGTTATCTGCGGTGAGCGCACAACGTCTTTAAAAACAACGTCGTTACTAAGCCTCTCTAAATACAATCTCGCACACTCTCTCACACTCACTCACACACAGACTGTATAGGGGGAGAATGTACAATCGAACCCAGGACCTTCTTGCTGTGAGGCTCACCGGCATTTCCTCCGCGCTGCCACCCCTACTGCCCACGGTGTGGCTCCAGTTTTGTCGGCTAGCCGTCAGCCTCTTTGGCTACGCCATCGAACAAAGGCGGTGGTCACCGCATCATCGCGCGCTTTCAGATGCGCTTCTGCGGCCGTCTGGAAAGCTCTTGCCACCGATATTAGGAAGTCACTGGAGCTGTACACTTTAATGTCATCTAAATTGAAAGATCTTTTCTTTAGAGCCGCTTTTTGTGTTTAGTTTTGTTGTCCTTCCCCCGCACCTCTGATTATCGCAGTTGGCTACGTACGGTGTGAAAGAAGCTCAGCATACGTACATGGTCTTCTTACAGTGCACGTAGCCCATCGCGGAGCGAGTGACTAGCCCATTACGAAGAGAACTAGGAGAAATATCCCATCTCAAATTTAATAATAATACCAATGAATAGGTCAGTAACCACCAGAGCGGGTATTGTGATGGCATCGCCCGGTGAGATGATACGGCCTGCGTTTATTTTTGGCGAAAGATGCAACGTTTCCGTAGTGAGTCATTTGCTTTGTTTCTGCTTTTTGTGCACGAGCTGCAGAACTGGAAGCTGCGATGGTTCACGGTGTTCAGGCACGAGATGAAGTACTACAGGGAGCCCAAGGTGAGGCGGTACAAGCCGCCAAAGCCAGTCCCTTCACCGAGCTTTTGCGCTGTCACTCTCTCTTCACTCCCTTTCCTGGCTTTGCTCCATTCCCCTCTCTCTTCCTCCCTGTATCTCCCCGTCTGTCTCTCTCCCCCTCTCTCAATCGCTCCCACCCTTCCCCCTTCCACTCTCTCTCTTCCTTCCCCGTCCCTCTGGACCTCGGGCACATTTGCTGTGCCGCGTTTATCCCGGCAAGCCAGGGTACGGGCACTTCCCACGAGCAGGCGAGGTAGTTAGCATCTCATAGCTACCACGGTGTCCCTCTCTGACCACACGGCCACAGTCGGGTCTGAGTGGGAAACTGCAGGGCCCGGGGGAATCTATGAACAGGACTCCGCCCGTTCAATCTTCACGGGATAGAGTGTTGCCCCCTCGCACGTGTGCGAGTTCTCTGGGTACTCCGGTTTCCTCCCACACGTAGACACACGAGTTGACCAAGAGCACCTCAACGTACAGAGGACCGCAGAGCTTGGGCAATTGTTTTCCCTGGTGTCACGGTTGGCTGCCTTCCTGCCTGTCTGTGGTTACTCGCGCCTCTTGAGTAATTCTCTGCCTGTGTTCAAGAGTGAGCGAATACTGCCCAGCGTACAAGCTAAAATAATGTATTATTTATACTTGGGAAGCCGTGCAGGGCTGAGCCTGGGTAGTGGTTGGGTGGGCAGCCACCATGCGTCACCGGTTGTCATAGGCAACTGTGGAGCTTACATTGTGGGCAGAAGAGGGGCCAGTGTAGCAAAATCCATTGTTGTACCGTACTATTACATTATTGAACACTAATATCTTGAGAAACACGTTACGTGTTTAGTATGTTACACCGTTCGTCCGATTAGCACGGTTGGCTACGTACGGTGCGAAAGAAGTTGAACGACCTGAATTGACCAGCGTGGTGAAGTATGGTCACATGACCCCCCGCCACACACCCACACAGTTTTGTTGGAGGCCCTCTGGGGTCCGCCGCGCGTGTGGGCTGTGTGACGCGTTTCCCTCGCGCCCTCGCAGGACGCTGAAGCGATCAAGACGCTGGATCTCACGAAGTGCAGCGCAGTGCAGTACGACTACACGCAGGACAGGACCAACGTGTTCTGGTGGGTACCGGTGAGCGCCTGCCGGTGAGCACGTGCCGGTGAGCACGTGCCGGTGAGCACGTGCCGGTGAGCGCCTGCCGGTGAGCACGTGCCGGTGAGCACGTGCCGGTGAGCACGTGCCGGTGAGCACGTGCCGGTGAGCACGTGCCGGTGAGCACGTGCCGGTGAGCACGTGCCGGTGAGCGCGCACGACGCGCCACATTCTCGGCGACGCGAGTTCGGTCCTCGCTCACGAGCAACATCGGTGGAGAATATCTGAACCGGTCCCGGGCCTCCTTTAAGTCAACTCAGCCTTAAGCGAGTACCTGGTGCGATGTGTAGACATCGCCGCTCAGGAGGCAAAGGCGGCCGGGCGTGGTTGTTGGCCACATCCCACCACCTCGTGTGCCGTGCCGGACTTGACGCCTCGCCGCCGTGCCGGAGAGCCCGGGGGGGGAGTGCCGTCAGAGGGGAACGTCGTTGAGCTGACGTTTGTGGCGGGGTCGTTTCTGAGAAAGAGCGACATGGCTCAGTGGGGCTTACGTGGCCAACTAAACATTGTTTACTTTAGTTCCATCCCAGGGCGAAGGAGGGGGCGAACTTTGAACTTTGCATTCGTTGAGTGGGGGGGGGAGTTGGGGGGGGGGAAGGGGGGGGACCGACGGTGTCCTCGTGTAACCGTGGCGTCGTCCCCGTCCCAGCCTCGTGTTTCCCGAGAGGACCTACTTCATGTACGCCGACTCGCCACGGGAGACGGACGAGTGGGTGAGGCTGCTGCGCTGGAAGCTGGTGAGGCGCGGACGCGCTCGCTCGCTCGCCGCTTACCGCTCACCACTCGCTCACCGCTTACCGCTCACCGCTCGCTCGCTCGCCACTCGCTCGCCGCTCACCACTCACCACTCGCTCACTCGCTCGCCGCTTACCGCTCACCACTCACTCGCCGCTCACCACTCGCTCGCTCGCTCACCGCTTACCGCTCACTGCTCGCCGCTCACCACTCGCTCACTCGCTCACCGCTTACCGCTCACCACTCACTCGCCACTTACCACTCACCGCTCACCACTCGCTCGCTCGCTCGCCACCTTACCGCTCACCACTCGCTCGCTCGCCACTCGCTCGCCGCTCGCCGCTCACCACTCACCACTCACCACTCACTCGCCGCTTACCGCTCACCGCTCGCTCGCTCGCTCGCCGCTCACCACTCGCTCGCCGCTTACCGCTCGCCGCTCACCACTCGCTCACTCGCTCACCACTCACCACTCGCTCACTCGCTCACCGCTTACCGCTCACCACTCACCACTCGCTCACTCGCTCACCGCTTACCGCTCACCACTCACCGCTCACCACTCGCTTACCGCTCACCACTCACCGCTCACCACTTGCGCGCGTCGCTCGTTCCGTGCCCCAGCGTCAGCCTGCTCAGTCGGGACAGATGGAGACTGATCGTGTGTATGTATGTTGAACTTAATCATCAGAATATTAATAGTGGACGAATCTGATGAGCTTTAGAGTTATTTTTCACAGATGTCCAGTCGGGGCACGGGGTCAGAAGGTGACAACAAACGATACAACAACAACAACAACACGACGGGAGTGCAAAGTGTAGGAAAGAGAAACGACTCACTTAAAAATACACAAATAAAACTTAACACATTTTTTATCAACCAGGTGAGGCCCACTGAGGAGCTATTAACTTATTTTTCCGAAGTGACAAGACACACAAATGATAGCTGAACAAAGTGGCTTATCAAGTGGAAATGTAATTTTCTTGCAGTGGTTTTCACACCTGATGATGATTGCTGTGGTTTTCACACCTGATGATGACCGTTTGTGTTATGGTTGAAACGTCGTGAGAATTTGTATTGTTTTATATATTTTATTATTTGATTGTTTCCCTTCAATGTGACTTTACCGAAAGAGCTAAGAATATGCATTTCTCTCTTTAGTTATTTTCAAACCATCTTTCCCACTTCTTCTTAACGTGGTTAACTATGTTCCGCCTTGCCATGCGTAGCGTCCTGATAACAATTGTTTAAGGGCGCTTTCTAAATGTGTATGATTATTAATGTAAATGCATGTTTATAAATGAAAGAATAGCCGCTGAGGCTCAGCCGGCCAGCAGAGGGCCAGGGAGGGGGTTGGCTGAGGACTGGGGGAGGGGGAATTGGCGAGAAAGAACAGAGACAGGGGAGAGTGTGAGAGAGGCAAAGTGACTACGTACGTATGTCGAACTTCTTTCGCACCGTGCGTAGCCAACCGTGCTAATCGTAGGAACGGTGTAACGAACTAAACACGTAATGTGTTTCATATTCTTGGTTCTTTCGGTAAAGTCACGTAGAAGGGAAATAATAAAATAATAATATATATATAAAACAATAAAATTCTCACGACGTTTCGACTGCAACACAAGCAATCATCATCAGGTGTGAAAACCACAGCAATCATCATCAGGTGTGAAAACCACAGCAAGAAAATGTTGTGTATTTTATTGTTTCCCTGCAGTCAAGAAAGCTTTAAATCAAAACGTAACGTGTTTCTCAAGATATTAGTGTTCAATAATGTCATAGTACGGTACAACAATGGGTTTAGCTACACTGGCCCCTCTGCTGCCCACAATGTAAGCTCCACAGTTGCCTATGACAAACGGTGATGCATGGCGGCTGCCCATCCAACCACTACCCAGGCCCAACCCTGCACGGCTTCCCAATTATAACTAATACACAGGTGCGGGGGAAGGACAACAAACTAAACACAAAAAAAACACTTCTAAAGAAATGAGTTTTCAGCCTTGATGATTTCAGAGTGCATCGCTCCGGCGGCCTCCTAAAATCGGAATGAGGAGCGTTCCAGACGGCCGCGATTCCGGCCACACACGTGCACTCAGCCACTCGCCGGAGCTCCCGTGGCGAGCAGCGCTCTCGTTACGCTCCCGGCCGCGTCCACGTCACGGGATCGTGCGGCAGCAGTAACATTAATAATAATAGTAGTAGCAGTCGTAGTGGCGCTCCCGTCGGAGTGCCCCAGCGGAGCTTCGAAGGCTCTCGGTGTCCCCGCGAAGGGAGCGGCCGCGCTCACAGCGTGGGACGTGCAGCCGGCTGCCGCGCCGTCTCCGGACGTGGCAGCTGCGCTGGTGCTCCGAGGCGTTTCTCCCTTTCATAGAACTTGGCGGATTTTCCGTAATAGCTCGGAGAGAGAAAAAAAAATCGGACAAAAGGGGACGTGGTTCCCCGCACCGCCGATTCGCACGGTTGGTTACGTAGTTCAACATACACATGCAGGGTGCTTCAAAAAACAATGTTAACACTTATATGGGGCTATCGTTTTTTATGGAAAATGAACTGATAAAATACACTGTAACGTGATGACAAATGTGACGTGAATAGCTTAAAAAAGTCAAAGAGTCTCCACTCGTTCGCCATCGTTGTCAACACGTGCCTGGAATCTTCACCAGGTGATCTCCAGAGCACAGGAGACACGTTTCTCATGGTACTGTGGCAAATTCTCCAAAGTCTTAACATTTTTTTGAAGCACGGCCCTGTATCATCAATGAAAACATTACCTAAGGTACGATTTAATCTACCAGTTGTGCACCTTGTGGCCATAAAATGGCCTTGTGCTAGAGAACACGGACCGTGGAGAATGCAAACGTGATGAGAACCTGACATTCACATTCAGCAAGTGGAGGTTGAAAGCTAAAGGTGCAGCCCTGCAATGTCTTGCTTGCACCGCTCCTGGCGGAAGGAATCCCACGAGAGGGAGCTCTAGAAGGCCCCTTTGGACGTGTTTTGGCCTACTCTTCCATGCTGACCATCCTTCTGATCGACTGCGGTGAACCCATTCATAAACTAAACATTCATAAACGGAACATTTTATTTGACCAGGTAAGGCCCACTGAGCTATGTAGCTCAGAAGCGAGCTTGGCCATCACCAATGACAGCTCGTGGAAGTGGTGGCTTATCACGTGGACATTTGTTGTGGCCAAATAAATGCGTAGCGAAAAACCGGAGGACCCGGAGAAAAATCAACGTGACCACGGGGAGAGACACCGCAAACTCCACAATATACAGCAGCGCAGGTGTCAGGGTCGGGATCGAACCCACGACCTCCTGTATACCGGGCGAGGTAGTTAACATCTCCTGCATACCGTGATGATGATGAGAGAGAGAGACACCCAATCTCTACAATATACAGCAGCAGGCGTCAGGGTCGGGATCGAACCCACGACCTCCTGCATACCAGGCGAGGTAGTTAACATCTCCTAGCCACCACGGTGCCTTAATACTCCTGGGTGGACAGAGGCAGCGGTGGTTGTTGAGGAGGTGGGGATTCCAGAAACCCGCCCCATTGTTTCCACTTCCGCACCGGGGCGATGGCATCGATCCGGTGACAATCTCCGGATTGCAGGTCCAGTGCGCTCAACACTTCACCCGGCCGACGGGGACTTCTCATCATCGGCGAGGAAACGATGACTCGCCCCTTTTGCTCGGAATGCTTCATGGCGTCTCGCTCCTGTGCGTATTTTTTTTTGTTGCAGAGCCACATCAACCAGGATGGATGCAAGACGAGATTCCTGCTGGCGAGCTAGCGCAGGGTGCGACGGTGCGCATCGTTCGCGGGGCGTGAGCCACCCGCACGCACGCACACACGCACGCACGCGTACACATCTATGCGTCTGTACGTGCGTAGAAACGACAATACGCGAAAGTGTGCTCCCTGGATGATGAGAGCACACTTAAAAAAACGCGAACGTGTGTGCATATTCTTTGGGACTTTCGGTAAAGTCACGTAGATAGGTTCAAAGAAAATAACAAAAACTACGACGCTTGGGTCGCTACACAAGCACTGCTCCTTGAATGGCATCGATAATTAATCTCACTTTGCTTTTGTATTTACAACCTTTGTGAGTCCACCGTTGGATAAAGGCTTCGGCGTGCCATGTCGGTCACGTGTTGAACTTTCGCACACCGCGCATAGCCACCTGTACGGGTCACGAGGGTTGTTTGACCGTACTTCTGCATTCCACTCAGTACGGATTGGTGAACAAGGGCAAGGTGTTATACTAAATTATACTTTTTTTTTACCAGGTAAGGCCCACTGACCTATATCGCTCTGTTTCAGAAGCGACCTGGCCACAAACGATAGCTCAGTGAAGCGGCTTGTCACGTTTGAAATGCATTGCCGCCGCATACTCTAAACGCGTGATGTTGATTCTCAATGTGGAGGGAGAAACCAGAGGACCCGGAGGAAATGTCACGTGGCCACGGGCAGAGAGAGACGTGCAGACTCCACAGATACAGCGGCAGGCGTCAGGGTCGGGATCGAACCCACGACCAAGGAGTGTTCCAGTTATCACTTCCTGCCGACGGGAAATTCACTCGGGTCGCTGGGCTCAAGAGTGGATTGTTGTAGTAATAATAACAATAATACGGCAAACATAATGACGGTAGCGTAAGTCAGCATTGCATTGCCAGGGGGTGCCGTTCATTTGTCCGTGCATGCCTTGCCCGTGTTTATATGTACGTGTGTACGTTGAACTTCTTTCGCACGGTACGTAGCCACCCATGCTAATCGAAGGTGCGGGGGAGGGACAACAAACTAAACACAAAAAGCAGTTCCTAAATAAAAGCGTTTTCAATCTAGATTACTTCAAAGTGCATGGTCGCTCCAGTGGCTTCCTAATATTGGAAGGAAGAGCGTTCCAGACGACCAAAGACGCGCGTCTGAAAATGCGCGATGGAGTGACCGTCAAATATTCTGTCAGTCCGTCTGTGAACACTTTTTAACGACAAATACAAACTCCTAAACCCGGTCGTTATTAAGCTCGCCACACGGTGTGACACAGGGGGCTCACCGGTGGTTGTGGCTGTGGATCGGATCACCACCGGTGTCCGGGGCTCTTGGCGCGAATGCGCCAGCCACCGTGTCAACGCTCGACCGCACGGGAGCGTTATCCGCCGGTATTCCAAGACGAGCTCTACTCTTGTGCGCGTGAGCTTCTTCCGCGCCGTACGTAGCCGACCACGCCAGCCCCAGGCGGGTGCGCTTGGCCACCATTCTGACCGCGACCGCGGCTGTCAAAACCACGCCGGGGAAGTCCGTCCGTCGCGGCGATTTGCAACGGCGCTCGGCTCGTTTACTGCCGGCAGTGGCTCGGAGAGTCCGCGACGCGTCTCCTGCGGAGCGCTCTGCTGCAACTGCTGGCCCACGGGCCCGCAGCTCGAGCACGGTTGGCCACGTGCGGTGCCAAACAAGCTCCGACGCTCGTGCGTTGCCGATCGCCCTGCCGCACGGCGGTAGAAAGGAAGAGGCGTTCGCTGGGTTTTAATTTTAAGGTTTGAGGCCTGCGCACAGGGGCACTTTGTAGAGCGGTTGTGTATTCTTGGTTCTTTCGGTAAAGTCACGCAGAAGGGAAACAGTAAAATAATAAAAATATAAAACAATTTGAATATGAATCCCTGCAGTCACGAAAGCTTGAAATCAAAAGAGCGGTTGTATGTTCACCACGTACAGTGAATGCTGCCCGCAACTCGTCCCGCCCAATGGAATGACAAGGACGTTGTAAAATTCGCTTCTGTGTAATGCTGACCGTTTGTCGAGTTGGATTTCCTTTGCACAGTTTTCGTATTATTACATCCCTTGACTTCCTGCCCTTTATTCTGACTTCCTGGACCTTTCGCTTGAAGACGCTTGGCGCAGTTTCAAGCGAAATCGTCATCGTATTTCACCGCTTCTCATTCTGCTTCTGAGAATTGTTCCTCACCTTTTACCGGCAACTGAGCCGAAAACAATAATAATAATAATTTGTGAGCTCTTTTGACAATGTTTTATTTGGTTGGCTGCGTCGGCAGGTGGTGGAGGGTGTTTACGACACAAATCGTTAAATTGCCGAACCCAAAACAATTATTATTACGAACTGTTTGGTCTCACTCACATTATCTCATTAACCCCCAATTCCTGCCTTCCTTTGTTCTACATCAAACAGATGACCAGGGCCCACTGAGGTTGCGAGATTCAAGGGAGACCCGGGTTTACTCGCCAAATTCAGCAATGAAGGTTACATTTCGAGTATTACAGAGATCGTCAAAAAAAACACATTTAATGTGCGCATTCACAGCCCGTTTGTGAGGGTTCTCCCCCCCCCCACCCACCTCACACCTGGAGGGGATGAGACTGAGGATTGGAAGATAGATGATGTCACACGTCAGAGATTATAATTAGTTGCGAGGGAGAAGAGTGAAGGATGTGGAGGATGAGAGGGTGTGGTGAGGGCACCGCTGTCCCAAGCTGACCGCGCTTCGTTTCCGCTACCTTGAATGAAAAAAAAAGCCCAATCATTTATTTGCTCGAGTGGTTTAGAGCCCTAATCCAGTGCTGGAAATTCCACATTTGTATGGCGGGGACAAGTTTAGCCTCATGAAGGCAACGACTAGGATTTGAACTCTGGGCCTTTGAGCCACTGTGTGGACATAGAGTGGGGGGTTGGGGGGGTGGGGTATGGACTAGTGGTCTACTGGACATCTGTGAAAACGAGCTTTAAAGCTCATCATCAATAAATGTTCTGATTCTGATAAGGCTGAGAGATGTTGTACACCCAGCGCACGACGACAGTCGACCTCAGAAAGGTGCCGTTCATTTCATCTGCCTCGGAACGATGATGGGCCGAGTTGGACCCGCGAGCGGGATTTGACCTCGCGACCTTTGAGACCACGGCCGCTCGCTCTGTCGCTATGGAGCGGACGGCGCGCGGCGCGGGTGACGTTAAAAAGTGCACGGTTCGATATTTATGCGTTTTATTTTTAAGAGATCGCGTTCAGTTTTGCGGTGTGCGTTTGAATTGCAGTGTTCAGAATGTGAGATTTTTATTAATAAGCTATACCCATTGCGCATGTTTTTAGTTTTGCCGCCATGGGAAAAAAATCTCCCGTGCTACTCCAATTAAATAAGCTGTAAGCCCCGGGCGTTCTACACATTTGAAGAAAGTGAGTCGTGTAGAATATAAGAATGTGATGCTCAGCTGTATGTACGTTGAACGTCTCTCGCAGCGTGTGTAGCCGTACCGCACCAGTCGGAGGTGCCGGGGCAAGGAAACACAAACATTGTATGCGACGCGGTGAGAAAATTAGTGCGTGTCGGAGGAGAGGTCACGTGACCCTCGGTGTCCACCAAGGTGCCTCCGGTGAGAGTTGTCCCGCTGAGCCACGGCGTGCCGTGGACGCTTCATTCCTGCATAACAACAAAGTACCATCTTGACGGACTGAAGCTTTTCGTTTGAAAGATATTTATTGGCAAACTGCCTCGGGTGCAGTATTTATTTTTTTAAGGCCGCGTTTTGTGTACGGCGACGCCAGTTTTTTGTATCGCGGTGGCTCTAAGTAATTGGGTTGCAGTTAAAGTGGAAGGCTCGGAGTCGCGAGTGATTTTATGGCGGAAGAAATCACTTTTGACTTTTTGATAAGGAAATAGCTCAACATCCCAATGCAGGACCGACCTGCAAAAAGAGTTCTGAGACTCGTTGGGGCTTTCCGGAATAAATTGCATTATTGTTTCGATTTAAAGCTTTCGTGACTGCAATGATTCATCTTCTTTGGTTCTTTCGGTAAAGTCACGTAGAATGAGAATAAAATAATAAATTGATAAAATAAAATAACACAATAATATTCTCACGACGTTTCGGCCACAACACAAGCGGCCTTCATCAGGTGAAGGGACGAGACTGTCTGGTAGGACAGCGCTGGAGTGAAAGAGCCACGTTCAGATCACGACCTTTAAGCTGTGTGAGAGGAAACAAAGCGCCTTGACAAAGGAATTAGCATATAATTTAGCATTGAAATGGCTGAGTGATTAGCTTGTGACTGGTCACAGAAATAGCTATGTTAAAAGTTGTCAAGGGGTGCCTCTGCGGATGTGTATGCTTTAACTTTTAACAAAGCTATTTCTGTGACCAGTCACAAGCTAATCACTCAGCCATTTCAATGCTAAATTATATGCTAATTCCTTTGTCAAGGCACTTTGTTTCCTCTCACACAGCTTAAAGGTCGTGATCTGAACGTGGCTCTTTCACTCCAGCGCTGTCCTACCAGACAGTCTCGTCCCTTCACCTGATGAAGGCCGCTTGTGTTGTGGCCGAAACGTCGTGAGAATATTATTGTGTTATTTTATTTTATCAATTTATTATTTTATTCTCATTCTACGTGACTTTACCGAAAGAACCAAAGAAGATGCATTATTGTTATTTAAAGCTTTCGTGACTGCAGTGATTCATATTCTTGGTTCTTTCGGTAAAGTCACGTTGAAGGGAAACAATAAAATAATAAAATATATATAAAACAATAAAATTCTCACGACGTTTCGACTGCAACACAAGCAGTCATCATCACACACCTGATGATGACTGCTTGTGTTGCAGTCGAAACGTCGTGAGAATTTTATTGTTTTATATATATTATTATTTTATTGTTTCCCTTCAACGTGACTTTACCGAAAGAACCAATAATATGCATTATTATTGTTATTTAAAGCTATTGTTAATTAAACCTTTTGTGTTATTTCGTGTTGAATTGAGCAGTGAGGCAGTGGTCATCTTGTGTTTAACAGTGCTGAGCTGGTGGTGGAAATTCCACGTTCCTATGGTGGGACGAGTCTTTCCGTAGGAAGACCACTATTGACTTCCCCACAAAGTGGTGTCCAATGTATCGACCCCTCTGGGATGATGATGATGATGATGGTATTTGTACAGTGTTCTGTAAAAATTGCAGCAAAGCTGAACTCGTGCAGACGATAGCATTGCCGGCTGTGTGTTACCTACATGCTGAACATTTGTTAAACAATTGCTAAATAATAAAATGTGTTCATTTAATGCATGTACGTTGAACTTTTTTCGCACCGTACGTAGCCAATTGCGCGAATCGATGGTTCTAGGGGAAAGGAGAACAAACTAAACACAACAACAAGAAGCAGTTCTGACTGACACCCAGCACTCAACAATCATTTCGTATCGTACGAAACAATCAGCTAAATATTTAAATTACAATTTAACAACGCATCATCGTGCAGCAGATTGTGGCAGGCCGAGGTTCACCGGCTGTGAGAGACGAAATGTTGTCGTTGAGTTTTTTTGGTTTGTGTAAAAAAAAAAACCGCGAGAGGACTCAGGAAGCACGGCAATGACCCTTGACAACCAAGGTCACGGGTTCACCACGGCCCGTACAGCGGGGGACATTCGCAATGCGAAGGCCGGTGACACCTCTTCAACTGGACCCCTGCCCCGAGCGGTGCACGAATCACGCTCCAAGTGTCAGTACCGCGGGTGACACCTCGTGAGGCCAGGATGAGTCTCGTTATTTCCCAGAGTCACCTGGGGCATGTGGCTGCCTGTTGGGATGAGTCCCAATCGGAGCGGCCCTCCTCCTCTTGCGATTGACGTCAGGGAGTGGGTGGGGGGGGGAGTCTCAGACGTCCACTGCGAGTGAAGCGGACAGGGCGTCGTGTGATCGTGGTTGTCAACACCGCTCGTGTTAACCAGGGCGGCCGTTGGAATTCAAACCGTGGACTTTATGCAACGAGCGGCGAACGCGCGGCCGCTACGATTCAGAGGGGGTGCCACTTTCCCCCGATGAGACATCGTCAGTGTGAGGACCGCCACACCATGTGAAACCATTGGGGGTTTTACAGCAGCACGACGGCGATTATGATGATGATGATGGGGAGGTGTCCTCACTCGCTGTGTATCGTCGGGGGCCGCGCTAAAGGCCCCCTGGGGCCGCGAGGGGGCCCACGGGCCTTGCCGTGAAGGACGCTGCGCTCGAGAGACGTCCACTTAGGCCGCACAGCGGAGCCCCTCGTTGCGGCCTCCTTTGTCTCACCAGTGTGAGGCCAGTGAACGCCGACGGGCGAACACAGCAGAGGAACGCCAGCGACCCAGGGGACGCCAGAAGGCCGGCAGATGGCAGTGCAGCGACGAGGATTGCGGAAGCCGAGTCCCCGAAATGTTTCTGGGGGTGCTGCGTCTTCGCAAGCGTGGCGGGGTTCTCCGTGCGCCCTGCCGTCACACCACAACAGACTCCCACAGGGAGGCGCTGGCCACAACATCCCCAACAATGGAGGACCCTCTTCAAAGGTTGCGTCTTGAGACTCGGGAGTGGCGTTGCTGGGTAAATCACTGGCTCTGCGATGAGGGTGGGTGGATCGTTATGAGATTCTGAGACGCACGACTTTTTTTTGTGTTCAGTTTGTTGTGCTTCCCTCCGCAGCACCGGTTGGATACGTACGGTGCGAAAGAAGTTCAACATACACGCACATGCAGCAGCGAGGTGTCCCCAGGAGGCAGTACAGCAAGTATGTCCGGACTCGTCCCAGTGTTATCCCCTCTTACGCACACACGGGCGCGCGCGCTGTGCACCCGCCAATGGAATTGGCCGGACATCCCTACGCGCCACGTGCTCTCGACTTGCTTCCACTTCTTCAGCGAACTGAATTCCCAGCACGTGGCGCGAAACGTCGGACAACATGCCGAACGACCACGCGACAACGCAGAAACACCATATCGAAGTGCTGTGCAATCCTGAGCCTCAGTCTTAACGTAAATATTTTTTTAAAATGAAAATCCAGGTTTTTCTCAAACCATGAATGAGGCAGGTTGATCATGGCGGGGTGGGGGGGGTGGTGGAGTTTGACCATACTTCACCACGTTGGTCAGTACGGGTTGGTGAATAAGGAGGAGGGGGGCAGTCCCAGTCACAAACATGTCACTCGACGTTAGCCGTGGCCAAGAATCTAACTGGGGCGTCACGGGTTCGTCGCACAGCCGCGCCACCACTCGGCACCGTGCGAGACACTTGGACGAAGCCCGCGAAGGGGCTACGGGATGCTGGAGGTGTGCACGGGGAGACATCTCGGCTCACCTCGCAGGCGGCATTCGCAGCAGCGGCAGCAGCAGCAGTGGACGCATCGGGAGAAGCAGCAGAATCAACATCAGTAGGAGTGGCAGCAGCAGGAGAAGGAGCCGCAGCGGTAGGAGGAGCAGAAGCGAGAACGGCACCAACAACAAAAAGAGGAAGTAAGCCCCTGGAGGAGGGGCAGTGTGAGGAGACGCAGCGGCAGAAGCAGCAGCAGGGAGACGGGAATAACGGAGTCATCAGCAGCAGCAGCAGGGAGACGGGAATAACGGAGTCATCAGCAGCAGCAGGAAGAGAAGCAGGAGCAGCAGCAGCGGAGATGTCTCGGGAGCGAGCCCCTGTGATCGAGCTCTTCGTGAAGGTGAGACGACAAGTCGTGGATGATGATGATGAGACGTCGTGGACGATGAGACGTGTGGATGATGAGACGTGTGGATGATGATGAGACAAGTCGTGGATGATGATGATGATGAGACGTGTGGATGATGAGACGTGTGGATGATGAGACGTCGTGGATGATGAGACGTGTGAATGATGATGATGATGAGACAAGTCGTGGATGATGATGAGACAAGTCGAGACACGTGCGTCCGCGAAGTCTGCAGGGAACCCCCGGCTGGGATGGGGGTGGGTTGGTCCCCATACGGGCTAATAATCTGGGGTCCGCAGGGTCCCAGGGGGTCCGCAGGATCCCAGGGGGCGCGTGATGAATCGGCAGCCACACCGCGCAGGTCCACCATGCCCACCCACTCCGTGCCCCCACGCACTGTGGTTGTCAATGTGTGGGACGTGAACGTGTCATGTTGGAGTGTGGGGATGCCACGTGTAGTTGTGGAATCCACGTGCAGAGGCGTGGTTCGTGTGGTGGTGGAGTCCACGTGCAGCGGTGAGGTTCGTGTGGTGGTGAACTCCACGTGCAGCGGTGAGGTTCGTGTGGTGGTGAAGTCCACGTGCAGCGGTGAGGTTCGTGTGATGGTGGAGTCCACGTGCAGCGGTGTGGTTCGTGTGGTGGTGGAGTCCACGTGCAGCGGTGAGGTTCGTGTGGTGGTGGAGTCCATGTGCAGCGGTGAGGTTCGTGTGGTGGTGAAGTCCACGTGCAGCGGTGAGGTTCGTGTGGTGGTGAAGTCCACGTGCAGCGGTGAGGTTCGTGTGGTGGTGAAGTCCACGTGCAGCGGTGAGGTTCGTGTGGTGGTGAAGTCCACGTTCAGCGATGAGGTTCGTGTGGTGGTGGAGTCCACGTCTAGCGTGCGAGGTTCGTGTGGTGGTGAAGTCCACGTGCAGCGGTGAGGTTCGTGTGGTGGTGGAGTCCACGTCTAGCGGTGAGGTTCGTGTGGTGGTGGAGTCCACGTGCAGCGGTGGGAGCGGGGTGGTTCGCGCATTCGCGTCCCTAGTTCGAATCCTGGCTCGGGACCCCATCCATTGTGTGACTAGCGGCACAGTTCAATAGACTGTATGTCGACGTGTGTTGGGTTTCGTCTACGTCTGCTCGGCCTTTAACGACTACGCGGGTGATGCGGTGCGTGAACATCAGCACTGGGGAGACAAAGGCGGCCGGGAGTGGCGCTAGGCCACACAACACCCAGGTCGTGCGCCCTTCCGACCTTAATATGTGCTCGCTAACAGCACAACCATGTGGTCTACGATGGTTGTAGTGTATCGTGGTCACATAGGTGTGTACAACACCATCAGTGACGGTTATCCGAACCGGTCCTGGGCCTCCCCTAGGTCGGCTCAGGCTCAAATGAGTACCTGGTGCAATCTGTAAACATCGCCACTGGGGAGACAAAGGCGGCCGTGCGTGGTGTTGGCCACCCACCCGCTCGTGTGCCGTGCCGGCCTTCATAGATGCTGCTCGCTAACAGCACTTGCCCCAACAGCCTGTTAAGGCTACACGGGGGATCTTTGTCCCTTATTACATTATGTTTTAGAAAGTCCGTATATATATTAATGCATGCTATTGATTTTCCAAACGCTTTCAACTCGTTTAAACATCGTGTCGCCGATTAGGCATATAAATACTTGTGCATTCTGGTGAAATTGTAACCTAAGGGAGGGTCCGTTTCCTGGCTTCCTAACGCACTCTGAGATAAAATCAGCAGCAACTTCCTGCTGCAATAAGAGCAACAGTTGCACGAGCTGTAGCAGCTGCTGCTGCGATTGCAACAACAGCAGCCGTAGGACTAGCAGCAGCAGCAACAGTAGCGATTGTAGCAGCAATAGCAGCAGCAACAGTAGCGATTGTAGCAGCAATAGCAGCAGCAAGTGTAGCGATTGTAGCAGCAATAGCAGCAGCAAGTGTAGCGATTGTAGCAGCAATAGCAGCAGCAAGTGTAGCGATTGTAGCAGCAATAGCAAAAGCAGCAGCAATAGTAGCAATAGCAGTAGCAGCAATAGCAGAGGCAATAGCAGCAGCAAGTGTAGCGATTGTAGCAGCAATAGCAGTGGCAATAGCAGCAGCAGCAAGTGTAGCGATTGTAGCAGCAATAGCAAAAGCAGCAGCAATAGTAGCAATAGCAGTAGCAGCAATAGCAGAGGCAATAGCAGCAGCAAGTGTAGCGATTGTAGCAGCAATAGCAGTGGCAATAGCAGCAGCAGCAAGTGTAGCGATTGTAGCAGCAATAGCAAAAGCAGCAGCAATAGTAGCAATAGCAGTAGCAGCAATAGCAGAGGCATGAGTAGCAGCCATAGCAGCAGTAACAAGAGCAGCAAGAGCAACAGCAGCCACCCATAGCAGTCGCAGCAGCAGCAGGCAATGGTAAAACCAATAGCTCATATTCTTTGGGTCTTTCGGTAAAGTCACGTAGATAGGTTCAAAGAAAATAACAAAAACAATATCTACGTGGCTTTACCGAAAGACCCAAACAATATGAATTCCTGCAGTCACGACGAAAGCTTTCAGTCAAGATTTAGAATCAGTAGCATCAAGCGCAGCAGCAGCAGCAGTTTTAGCGGCATCAGCGACATCATCAGCGCACAGAGAAGCCGTGCCACGTTTTGAGTAAGCAGGCAGGCGGCGTCTGCCCCGCAAATCCACCTCTCGGCAGACTGAAATTCCCTTCAAGTATTCCCGACAGAACGCCACATGGGCCGCGCGTGCCCTCGGGAGGAGTCGCCGCTTCCAGCAGCATTGTGTGAGCACAATCAAAGCCCGTCGTTCTGCTCCAAGCTTCAACCAACCAAGTCTCAAGACATTTTAAAAGCTTTAATTGCAACGAACTTTAGTTAGCCGCGTCCACCCGACTCTCTCGTCAGCAGCGACGGCGTTGGGGGTCACGGCAATGAGCCCAGAGGCTGCCCCGATGTGAAGGCGCCTTCGCTGTGGAGTCGCGTTGCTCGAAGGGACTCGCCGAAGATTTTAAACAAACGAACAGCGGCCACGTCTATCAAAGTGTTTTGCCCAGACGTGCGGACACAAATGATCGCTTTAGAAACCTATGTTGTGCATAAACAATCGGAGTGTTTTTTTAGACTTGGGGAGGGGGAATCCGATGAGCTATGAAGCTCTTGTTTTACAGACGCGTCCAGCACGGGCACGGAGTCAGCAAAGTTACAACAGCAAAAACAACAACGGCGACGATAGGAATGGAAATTGGAGACAATGGTAAGCAAGTCCTAAATATGAATTGTAGCTTCGTCATTTAATAAGTCCGATGTCGCAAGCTTAGGCAAGGCAGCAAAAACAACAGAGGTGTTTTATCCTGACAGCGCTCCATTCCGTTGATTAAATAAAGTGCAGTACACACGACGGCCAAGGGCAAAAAGCATTGCGTGTGCCAAGGGGTTTCTCCCGGGCTTCAGCAGGGTCCTGTACCACAATGGTTGGCCAATTTTGTTTTACTGAGACTTTTGTGTGGTGTTGGTGTGAAAATAAAAAGAGCTTTACAGCTCATCGGATTCCCCCAGTACAAATAAATATTCCGACTGTGTGTGCGAGTAAGTCCCCGAGTCGCACACTGGAGGAGACGGCACGTGTACCTACACAGGTGCGCCTCCACCCACTGCTGCATGCGGCCTCCCCAGGCACGTGTGGGTCCTGCGGGATATTTGCCCAAACTTCCACCACGCTCGGCCAGCGCAGATTTTTGTGAAGTGGGCAGAGGGCGGTGATAAAATAAAAACTGGTTCGGAAGCTACTCGCCACCGATGTTCGCCGTGTTCACGGATGACCCCCTCGCCCTCACCGCCAAATGAATGAAACGCGACGAAAGGTCGCCGCGCTGGTAACACACACGAACCGCTCGCCACAATTGAACCACAACACCTCGCTGCTGATCTCGTCAAGGGGCATAAAGCATCATCACGCGAACTCCCCCGGTGGTCCTCCTCGCAGCGGCGGCGGCGGCTGCGCCATCGACCAAAGACGGCCACTGCATCGCGCGCTTTCGGATGCGCTTGTGCGGCCGTCTGGAACGCTCTTCTGATATTAGGAAGCCACTGGAGCTAGGCACTTTTAATCTCGATTGAAATCCCATTTCTATGGAACTGATTTTTTAAGCTCAATTTGTTGTCCTTCCCCCACACCTCCGATTAACACGGCTTGCTACGTACGTTGAGAAAGAAGTTCTACATTCATACATACGTATAGGCTGCTGCGTGGGAGATGCGGCGGGGAGCACAGGGCAGTGCATAACATCCATTGTTGTACTGTACATCTATACTCGAGGGTCGACACCTGCCCAGTTTACATTCGGAACGATGCCAATCTGTGTTCGAGATCTCATACTGGTATTGCCTTGTTGAACTTCATGACAACAGCGTACTGCACACTTTTTTCACGATAGACCCAGTGCTGACCGAGAGATGTGGTCTGGGTTTGGTCTGCAGCGGGAAAAGGTGGCAGCTCTAAAATTATATGCACCCCACGTTCACCAACCCACACTACTGGTGAGCGTGGTGAAGTATGGTCAAATACATGCCCCCCCCTCCCGACAAAACAGCTCTACATGGAGCGTGGGTCGAGTCGTGTGGAACTGGTGAGCGTGCTCGAGTCGAAATCTTGAGCTCAAATCCCGGCCACGAGTCGACTCAGCTCCCCCACGGCTGAGAATTATTCATGAGAGCTCCACCGTGAGATGTTAATTGTGTTTAATCTACGGACAGACTCACCTCCACCATAGGAATGGGGAATTTCCACCACTGGCTCAGGGCTGTAAAGTGGGAGATGAGTCCCAACCCCCGCACTCACTTGCACAAGAAACTAATTTAACCTTTTGACCTTTGTCATGCGCGACTTTGTATTGAGGCACGTGCTGCGATTGCCACATGTCTTGGTTTCTCACCTGGTACAGTCTGGGAATTAGCATCTGTGTTCAGACGGCAGGAATTTATTTATACCATGATCTGGTACCGGTATTGTGCCGTAAAACAACACAGCACCTCTAATTAGCGCGTTTGGCTTTGTATGGTGCAAAAGAAGTTTAACACACATAGTAGTGCCGAAAGAGAAATATGTCTGTGTTTGGTCTATCGTGGAAAAGGTGGAAACCCTACTCACTCATTCACTCACTACCTCACCCACTCAATCACCGATTCATTGGTCGGGTTACTCAGTAACTCACATCCACTCGCTCGCTCACTTACCCACCCACTCACTCGGCATTTCACTCATCACTTGGGCGGCCACCTGGTCGGGAATTGGCACCTGTATTCAGGTGCCAGTAAATGATTTGTACCCGAGATCTGGTGTTGGACTTAATAATACTCCGCTGCACGGTCTTGATAAGACATGTCTGGGTTGGATCCGCAGTGGAAACCGTGGCACGTGCCCTGCCCAGTGAGTACGAGGGCGGAATGCGTTATGCGTGGGTGACTGTGGATCTGCTCGCGCTGGGGATTAAATGAAAACAAATGGCGTCATTGTCGTGTTTACTTTGGTAAAATCGCAGTGTTTGTCCAGACAGTGACTACCCCTCCATCGCAGCGGAATCTCGAACGTTCTAATTAAAAAAAAGGAATGCCAATCATTATGAGACTTTGTCATAAAACGGGGTTTGTCGCCGTTGGCTAACATAGAGGGGCTAACAACTACAAAAACAACCACAACAACTAAGTGGCAGTGATGTCACTTAGTGGCACTCGGTTAACATCTTGTCTGTCCTCGTACTCCACGACCTGAGCAGTGAGCGGAGTTGGCGGACGAGTTGCCGGGGCCCTAAGAGCAGCAGAGAGGCACAACATCGCCTCCAATTAGCACGGCTGGCTGCGTACGGTGCGAAAGAAGTTCAGCATACATACAGAGACTCCTCTACTTACCAACGTTCGACTTACGACCTTTCAGAGATACGAATCGTAAGTTCAACCGCCATGCAATAGATGGTGGTGGTGGCATCTACATCTGCAGGACACGAAGAACCAGTGAAATCTACATCTACAGGCGATTATTCAACTTTTAAAGGCATTTCCCGTGTTTAATGTACACGCCATACAACACGTCTGTAATCGACAGGAGTAAAGTTGGACTTACGAACAAATGATCCTCATGGCGGTAGCCCAGGGTACCAAATAATACAAAATGGCCGAGGCAATTAAATATTTTATTTCTGGGACACTTTTTTTCCCCAGGGGTGTACTTCACTCCGCGACTGGGGTACCAATCAATTCTAAATCGGTGCCACACTCCGCGATGTCGAACCGCAGCGAGGAAGACGATTGCGCCGAAACCCCGAACGCTCGTACGCACCATGGTAGTGCATCGTAGCGTACAGCTCGTCGAAGATGAGTCGATTGTTGCATCGCCGACCATCAACAGACTAACAGTGACTGCATCACGGACATTGTGCGAGAGCCGGGGTACTATGGTACCCCGGGGTACCGCCATAAGGTTCAAATCGACTTACGAACGGACCTCTGGAACCTAACTCATTCGTAAGTCGAGGAGTCCCTGTACGTACATCAGCAGGAGCTAGGAGGAGGCTACGTGAGAGTCGGAGGGGCTGCCCGCTCACCACGTGTCCCTGTTGAGCCTCCCAGAACTATCGCAGCTTTGTCCGGCGGCCGCTGCCACGGTGGTGTCACGGCGAGCGGCATGCTGCGCTTGCGAGGTCGCCGGTTCGACCTCCCGGTGCGGCAGTGGAAACAACGGCGCGAGTTTCTCGAGTGCTCGCCCTGTCTCTGTCCACCCATGGGTGCGGCACAGTTAGTCCATGGGGTCAAGTGGAGGTGCTCCCTCCTCTTGCGAGACATATAGCCAGTGTGGAAGAGCAGGCCAAATACACTCTGGAGGGAACTCTCTGCGGCTCTCTCCAATGAAGACCCTTTCATTCGCAGTAGCGTCAGCAAGAAATTGCAGGGGCTGCGCCTTAATGTGGTCGGTGTAGTGGGATGCGACTCCGGGGTGGTGTGTGTATTCACAGGGGAGCGGATATTTAAACTGGTCATAGCCCTCCCTTAGGTCGACTCAGCCTCAAATGGCTACCTGGTGCAGTGTGTAAACATCAGCGCTGGGGAGACGGAGGCGGGCAGGTGTGGCGTGCGCCCTTCCAACCTTCTTAAGGTGCCGCTACTCGCCAAAGGCACTTGTCCCACCAGTCTGTTAAAAGCTATACGGGGGGTCTTTGTCTGTGTGCGTTCTCAGGCCGGCACCGACGGGGAACGCATCGGGAACTGCCCCTTCTCGCAGCGCCTCTTCATGCTGCTGTGCCTCAAGAAAGCCGAGTTCAAGATCGTCCTCGTCGATCCACGCAGGTACATTCATTCATTGCTCGTTCATTATTCATTCATTGTTAATTCAATGGGGGGCCGCAGTGGCGAGAAGTTACCTCCCTCGCCTGGTGCGCAGGAGGTCGTGGGTTCAATCCCGACCGTGACTTCTGCTGTGTATTTGGAGTTCGTGAGCTCTCTCTCTCTCCGTGGTCGCGTGGATTATTGTTCTCCGGCTTCCTCCGGTTAATTACCCTCCACATTTAGAAACATGCGATTGAGATTATTTGGCTGCTCCTGTAGATTCCCATATGGTGATAGAAGCCACTTCGATGAGCTATAAATGTGTGGCCAGCTGATAGCTCGGTGGGCTTCATCTGGTGAAACCATTTCAGTTGATCACTTTCATGATGTGCACAATTGAACTAAAAATGGGCATTGAGAGGCGCCAGAGAATTCGTCAAAGAGGGAGGTAGACGTCTGCAGACGCCCACAGGAGAACGTCGCTGATGCGCGACGCAGCGAGAGACGAGGGAGTGAATTGTGGATGAGCGGAGCTCCGACACGGAAGCCGCAGCAATACGACTCCATTACTGACCGCGGTGGTGCATTGTGGGCAATTATTTATTGAATTAGCAGATGGAAGCCTGTTTCATTTTGCAGACAAAATCTCACGGAGTTTTAGTTCATCGCTCTGTGGGCCTTCTGAACCATCGCAGTGCGGAATGTTTATTCGTTGAAAAAGTGTCCTAACATTCGCTGGACGGGTTCACGGTGTTCGGGGAGGGCTATTGCCCATGACGTCAGGCAACTGAGCAGGATCAGTGACCCAGGCCTGGCTCTGCTGATGAGACTCGGAACATCGAAACGGCTCCGGAGATTACTTGGATCAAACCGATGCCGCTGCGAAATGCACTCCCAGAAGGCCGCGTGGCTGATAGGACGCGTCACACGCGTGGCCAAAGGAGGCGGACATCGCAGAGTTACCTCTGAGATCCCTTCAAATGACCTCCACTCCACACATTCGGGAGCAGCTTCTTCCCACCCACCCTGCCACTGGAAGCAATGTTTTTTGCGTACAATTCAAGCGAGTTACTTTCATTCTCAGAGCTGCCACTCGCTTGCTTAAACGACCATGGGCCAATGAAATAAACCTTCAGGTGGCGAGACACATCCCCGTCTCACGTTGTTTCTAAGTCACTCAAGTGCAAGCCAAAGTCTCTGCGCACGATGTCATCGCACTGCGTTAACGTGGCTGCGTTGCACTGCCGCTGTCCGTGTTGTGCCAGGAAGCCGGCCAGTCTCGCAAAACTCGCTCCAGGCACCCAGCCCCCCTTTCTCACCTACAACGGGGGAGTCAAGACTGACACCATCAAGATCGAGGAGTTTCTCGAGGATGTGCTGTGTCCTCCAAGGTGAGAGGTCCCCATGCATACACAATTATCCATACATTGTCAACATCATCATCATCATCATCGTCATCCATACGTTATTATCCATTCATTGCCACCACCATCGTCATCACTGTGATTCATACAACACTATCCAATCATCACATCAATGTTACACTGCTGGTGGAGGCTTTCCCTGCTCTGTCCGCTGCTTCTCGCAAGAGGATGATACAAGGCGATGCTTTGATAATGCAAGGCGATGCTGAGTGTTGTCTATATACAAATATCTATGGGATGTCGCCGTGGCGTAGCGGTTGGCACAATGGACTTGCAATCCAGCGGTCGACGTTTCTATCCCTGGCCATGGCTAACATGTATGTAGAACGTGTTTGTATGTTGAATTTCTTTCTCACCGTACGTAGCCAAACGTGCTAACCAGAGGTGCAGGGAAGGACAAAAAAATAAACACAAAAAGGAGTTCTCAAGAAATGAGTTTTCAATCTAAATTTAAAAGTTCATAGCTCCAGTAGCTTCCTAATACAGTACTGGAAGCGCATCTGAAAGCGCCGGGCGATGCAGTGACCACCGCCTCTGTGCGATGGCAGCAGCCAAGAGCTGCCGCTGCTGCCGCTGCTGCTGTAAGGATGACCCCTGGAGGAGTCCGTGATGATGGTTTGTGCTCCTTGACGAGATCAGCGAGGTGTCGTGGTTCATTTGTGGCGAGCTGTTTGGGGTGGTGGCGGGTTTAACGACACATTTATATATTCATGCAATATAACCCAAAGCAAACCTGTATTATGGATGACATTGGTACCGAAAGCCAACATGTTAAACCAGTAGGTAATGAGTTCGTCTGACTGTCCACGGTTGTGGTTTTAATACATTTTCATCGACAACCAGAGGAGGCTCACTTAACGGACTGGCTTGGCACTGCCGTTTATTACTCCACATTGATTTCCTCCCTCTAAGGGTGTATGTTCTTCGCCCGTGGCATGCGCTTGTTTTACGATATTAATAATTGATTGTTGGCAAAAGCCACGTGCTGTTGTTACTTCGTGGAGACCTTGGCCAAAGTTCAGCCGGTGGGCAAGGTTATGTTGTTTTAGCGGAATGGCACGTAACTAAACTATCAAACTATTTTTTATTTTACCAGGTAAGGCCCCACTGAGCTTACACAGCTCTTTTTGTAGAAGCGACCTGGCCACAAATTATAGCTCAACGAAGATGCTTATCACGTGGACATTCATGGCAGCCAAACAATCTAAGCACACGTTTCTAAATGTGGAGGGAAAACCCAGAAGACCCGGAGAGAGAGAGAGACATGCAAACTCCAAATATACAGCAGGTGCCAGGGTCGGGATGGAATCCACAACCTCCTGTATACCAGGCGAGGTAGTTAACATCTCTTAGCCACCGTGATGATGATGAGACAGAGAGACACACAAACTCCAAATATACAGCAGGTGCCAGGGTCGGGATGGAATCCACAACCTCCTGTATACCAGGCGAGGTAGTTAACATCTCTTAGCCACCGTGGCGCCGCATGCCAGGGGCGCAGCAGAGGCAGATCTCAGAACTTGGCAAGGTGGGTGGGGGGGCAGGCGGCACCCAAGATTTTAAGATTCTTACGAAAGAAACTTTTGAGATATTTTCTCTTCTGTCAATAAATATTAATTTCAGGGGTCTCAAGGGAGGGGGGGGGGGGCGGTGAAATTGCCCCGCTGGCGCCCCCTCCTCCCTCCCCCCATTCGATCTGCCACTGGGAGCAAGGCTGCACGCATGGTTACTATTATTAATACAAAACACTCACCGCGTTGGTGTTACAAGGAAAAACACAATCATAAGCGACGTTTCGGTGGCAATGGCCCTCTCTTCGTAGCACATAAACGTAAATATAATTTTACTTGATTCTGAATTATATCGCAGCCATGACCATTACACGTAAAGCGTTCACTTGCGTGTGCCACGGTCTATCCACAGCTGGATGAAAGACCTTCCCAAAGCAGTCTTAAGGAATGAGCTTTCAACCTCGACGATGATTTAAAAGTGCATAGCTTCCAGTGGCTTTCTCATATTGGAAGCAAGAGCGTTCCAGACGGCCGCATAAGCGCATCTGGAACCGCCGCGCGCCGCGCGGTGGTCTGCATCCTCGAGTTTGCAGACTGGGGCGGCACCGTGGGCATCCTGGGCTTGGATCTGGGCAGCCTCTCGCTAGTGAGACGGAGTTCGCGCATTGACGCCCTCAGCCGGCGCCGACTGAGCAAACAAAAGCCCGAACACTCACGCAGCCATGAGCGTTAAAAATACCGGGTCCATTTCCGTGCGGCAAACATCGAGACCGTAGCCTCACGTAGCCTCGTATCGCATGGTCGGCAACATACGGTGGCTACGTACGGTGCGAAAGAAGTTCAACATACATGTGATGCGACGCTGGCCTAATATGCACGCACGTTGAACTTCTTCCGCACCGTACGTAGCCTAATCCGTGAAGAGATAACCCGGGTAGGAAGGGACACTTTGGCCGTGTCGTGATCGGAGAGCACAAGGAGAGGGAGGGAGGGAGGGAGGGAGGGAGGGAGGGAGGGAGGGAGGGAGGGAGGGAGGGAGGGAGGGAGGGAGGGAGGGAGGGAGGGAGGGAGGGAGGGAGGGAGGGAGGGAGGGAGGGAGGGAGGGAGGGAGGGAGGGAGGGAGGGAGGGAGGGAGATTCCGTGGGTGAACACCGCACCGGAGCAAGGGGCTCGCGGTTAAACCCCCGGTGGCTCAGCAGGCCCAGAGGCTGCGAGGATGCATCTGCTCCACCGCGGCCGGCTCCGATGGCAGGAAGTTCGTGTTGTCCCCCAGAGTCCGGGCCCCCCTACGGAACACCGGGAAGTGGGTAGTTTTTTACGCGGGTGGAACAACAATGGTTCAGGCACACGTGTTGCCCACACTCCACTCGCAGGGCCATCCGCGGACGTTTCGGGCAGAAACGACAGTCGAGGGACGTGTCCGGTGATAGAACGCATCCTAATGTCGCCCAACGATGCATCACGGTGACACTTCACCGTCCAAGAAACAGATAAATCTGTGTGTGTGTGTGGATGTGCTTACGCATCATTTTTATTCAATAAGGGTCAGGAGGGGTGGCGCTGCGGTTAGCACACTACACTATAAAATCCAGCCACCTGAGTTCGATTCCCAGGCGTGGATAACCATGGTGAGTGACATCTCAGCGGCGTGAGCCCCACGCCCCCCACTGCCCCAATCCTCACTGAGCAGCGTGGTCAAGTATGGTTCATACAACACAAACAACCGACGTGGCATAACAACAATGACGACGATGATGATGATGATGACGTCAAATTTCACCACGGCACCGCACGGCATTCGCTCGCTCACGAAGAGAAAGCGAGAGGACGACTCAGACGAGGCAGCGGCAGCAGCAGCCAAACGCTGCTAGGAGCTGGCGCCAATTTCCTTCCAAGCTCTGCGGTCCTCTATGTGAACGTTTTGGCGGTACGCCGGTGGTCCGCGGTAGAAATGTATTTTATTTTCCGCAATAATCAATTATTTTCTCGCGATTCGCAAGCCCAGTCAGAAAATATTGCGGGGTGTTTTTTTGGCGCCGTCCAAATCGGTTCTCGTGATGACGAATGTTTATACGAGCGGCTGACACGAAGCTTCACAATCTGTTGCCGTATAGCAGCACCCAGCCCGATGGCGATTGGCTGCTCCGTGCTCCAAAGGCAGATTTGACTCCTCGTGCCCTAGACTTGGTCGGGACGGTTCCTCCATTCGTTTCCGGAATAATTTCTGGACGGACGGTGGCATCAAAAGAGGACGACTCGTGGTGTCACCGCACGTTCGAATGGGAAAGCAGCTGCTGAATCGAAGGCAACTTCTGATGGAGCGTCTACAGCTCACTGCAACAGCGACGTTGTTTTATGAGGACCGGTGTGTCATGCTGTACTGGTGTACCACCAATGCGTCCATGTATTGAGGTTTTATCGGGCAATTAATGAGTGTTTACTCGTGGGAGGAAAGTGGAGCACCTGGAGAAAACCCCATTGCGGTGCGAGGGCGCAACGCTCTATCTCGCCAAATGGCAAGGGTGGAGTGAACATTTTCGGTACCGCCTTCTCCCGGCGAGTCAGAACACGGGCTCCTCCTCAACGCCCACGGGAAGGGAGTTTCACAGCCCATCTGTGTGCGATCCGCCAACCCTGGCTGGTGGTGGTGGCGGCGGTGGTGGTGGTGGCGGTGGTGGTGGTGGTGGTAGCAGTGGTGGCGGTGGTGGTGGTGGTGGTGGCGGCGGTGGTGGCGGTGGTGGCGATGGTGGTGGCGGCGGTGGTGGTGGTGGCGGCGGTGGCGGTGGTGGTGGTGGCGGTGGTGGTGGCTACGCTAATGTCGCGGCCTGTAATCCCGGCTGCTGCGTAGGCAGCAGCGAGGGCTTGATGGACCGCACACAGATGGGCCTCGAAACTGCCTGCCCGTCGCTGCATGTCGAGGAGGAGCCGTCACCCTGACACCCGAGGAATGGGGTACAGCGACGTGTGGACTCATTTCCGTCCATTCCATCTGCATGGGATAGAAGTGTTGCTGCCTCGCACCTTTGGGTTTTCTCTGGGTACCCTTGGTTTGCACGCACACGTTGTGAACACTCTCACTGGATGGAAACGTGGTACCTACGTTGGACTCCGTTTGCACCGCACGTAGCCAACCGTGATAATCGGAGGCGCGGGGGAAAATCATCTGCACGCCGCCTATGTGTGCGGCGGATGACGCAACGGTGTGCGACGCAGTTGCGTACATGGCGCTACTCGATTAGCGCAAACAACGTGGAACAATCCGCCGGGAAGACAGACGTAATCAGTGTGCGCAGGTTGCTGTGGCACACGGCTCAGAAGCACGGCTAACAATGGGCGAGGTGCGGAGAGAGATGCACGGAGAGACGCGCGCCGTGAGTTGCATCGAGGGACAGGGCGAGGGAACACGCTCGGGTTCGTGGCATCATCGAAACAAATCAGAACAGCAAGTGGCCCCGG